AAGCAGATACTATTCCAGACGGCCCGCATAAATGTATCTGCAGTTTGTTTTCCTCAAATTTCAGTATATCTCTTAGTTTCATTTATTACCTGACTATTGATTTTCATTTTGTCCCCACATTTCTGACCCCATCTAGCTGAAATAATGCGAATGTGCTGGATTTAGGCTTGATAAGCCATCCAATATTTTCATATCTGCTTATATGATCGTGTAAAGCAGACTTATATACAGCTTATTCATGGCCGAATGCAAAACACAGCTTATTTTAGAAGTAATGCAGTTAAAATAAACTGTAATATAGCAGTCAGGGTGCGCAGCATAACTATATTAAGTTGTTAGACCAGCATACTTTGCGATAATTCCCTGATGTGCACACCATAAGAATCCAAGTTACAGTTAAGACGGGAAAAATGACTTTTACGAATCTTCCCTACTTCAATTTCCAGCGGACTACTATCCTCCCAAAAATACCGTTCTAAATGATCCAGTACATAAGTAGTCATGAGAGCTTTAAGAAAAGATGATGATGACGTCAGCACTTGAGAGGAGATTAAAAATACGAAAATGTAAACAAGCCTATTCATGGATATTATGCTAGACTTTCAATTCATTTGTGTCATGATATCGTAAGGCAGCTCAATGGTAATGTCTCTGACTGCAGTACTGAGTGACGGAGGTTTTAACCTCTTAGAAGGCGTCAGTTCCCTCGAAGGCAAAATACGTCATGCTGATAATTGGGTGCAGACTCTTACAAGTAGCCAGAAACTTGTTTATTCGTCCATGAGAACCTGTAGCAAGGAAATGTGACGCAAATTCCAGATGATTTCCCCAACGCCATTACTATTTACTGCTTCTGTTTTGGACCTTAGCTAGTATGAATATAAAAACCTCAGAAACAAGTCTATCACTTTAATAAACTCTTGAATTAAAAGTCACACAAGAAACAAATCACTTAACTTTTACTGAAATTTCTAACCAACAGCAATAGTTACCTTAATTTATCAGATAACAAACATTGCTTTCGGAATGGGCTAACTAGAGGACGTGAAGCGAAAACCGAGATTGAGACAGGTGGGACATCACTTCATTTGTCTACGCATTCGACCTTCACAATGGATGAGTCACAAGTTCAGATTACACTTCACCTACTGACGTTTCGGTAGCCAGGTGATACAGTTAGCTATGAAACAACAGATATGAGTGGATTTTAAGATGGAGGCATGATTCAAAGTACCAATCTCCGGGTTTATCAACCCGGTGCTCTACTGATTCCTATCGTCTCGCGGACCACAATCCTGTAGATCACATCCGCCCCACATGACTCAGGTCAACAGTCAGGGATTTCATGGATTGGTGACACATTTTGGTCTTGGCACTTAGAACTTTCCTGCAGAGTAATCCAACTTTCCCTACCACCGGAAGTCGAGGTAGGTGTGGCTCCGTATGCACAGCATAAGTCCTAGCCATTTCAGTCAACAATTTCACCAGTCGACTTGCCTTTCTTGCCAAGTATCTTTCACCTTACCTCAACATTGCTCACACAATGAACCCACTTGTCGAGGGTTTTTCACATTTGCCATATGGTAGCATGATGCATAACCATCTGTTGACTGTGAATCACACTGTTTGCAAATCTACGACTTGTCATTCCAATCCCAACCTAGCTGAGTTAGACAGAGCATCGAACTCATTACTGATGGTGGACTGGATCATGCAACAAATTGTGAGGAGCGAAAATATAGGCATGGGGCGACAGACCAATGACAAGACACTAGAAGATTTGCATTTTGCCGATGATTTCTCTCTTATGTTTGCACAAACTCGAAGATCTACAGACAAAAACTAACAAGTTGGAGGAAGAGGCAGAGAAGAAGTAACTTCCTTCAGGTGAACGTAGAGAAGACACATGTGATGAATATAACCAACCAACGACAACAAGCACCAACCACCATCAACGGGAGAAATCTAAACGAAGTTGTCTCGTTCACCTACATCGGCAGCATCGTTTCAACTACCGGTGGCACAGAGACAGATGACGATGTCAAAGCCAGCCAGGATCGGAAAGACAGCAAGACAGATCTTCCTTCATTATTCTGAAATCAGTGTGGAGATCTACTGTAGTGCACTGCATCGCACTGCACTCAGCATGTAGAACAACATCCGGATTTTCAACACTACTAATGTGAGTCAAGTAAGTCAGTGCTTGTATGTGATGGTTGAGGGACTTGGTGTGTCATGAAAAGCATTTCCAACAAGCTGTACACATGCATGAACAGCCGCCGCCTACGCTCAATCGATACTGAAGATGGAGATCACATGGCCAGAATAATAAGAATAAGCAACAAGGAACTCTGATCTGACAACGAACCAACGAAGCAGAAACCTACGGCCCAACAAGTATGCAGAAGAAGAAAGTGGAAATGGATTGGATTAGACATACATTGAGGAGACCGTTTGAAGACATCACCCGCCAGAGCATGCCGTTGAATGAAATCCAAAGGGGAAACGACGAGTTGGGCTTTCGGGTCGAGGGTGACATGGAGATGACGTGATGAAGAAACGAAAACTTCTGAGTATTCGCATATCCAGCTTGAAAAGACTGGCGAGAAGAGAGTGAAATGGCGACGTGCTATTGAAATTGTATGTCCCACTAGGAACCCATGGGACAAATAGTAATAATAAAACACTATGTATGATAGCCTATAAAGACGCAACAAGCCAAGTAATTCACAATGGGAAGCGCAGTAATGCCTCCGAAGTGAAGTGAAGATAAGCAGGAGTAAGACAAGGCTGCCTACTATCAGCCATGATATTCCTGACTGTAGTGGACTGGATCATGCAACAAACAGTGAGAAGCTGTGAGAAGAGGGGGATACGTTGGACCGGGGAAAAGAACCTAGAAGATTTGGATTTCGCCAATGATGATTTATCATTAATGTCGCACAAACTCGAAGATCTACAGGCGAAAACTAACAAGTTCACAGAAGAGGCATGGCAGCGAAAACTGGACTTCAAGTGAATGCAGAGAAGACACATGTGATGAAGATACCCAACCAACAACAACAACAACAACAAGAAGCACAAATTACCATCAAAGGGAGAAACCTAAAAGAAGTAGTCTCTTTAACCTACAACTACCTAGGCAGCATCGTTTCAACTACAGGCGGCATAGACACACACGAGGATGTCAAAGCAGCCACGATCGGAAAAGCAAGACATTATCTGAAGTCACTGTGGAGATCTACTGCACTCCACTCCACACAGTATAAAGCGTGAACAACATCCGAATTTTCAACACCAACATCAGTCAAGTCAGTGCTTCTATATGGCTCAGAGACTTGACGCGTCACCAAAAGTATTTCCAACAAACTACAGACATTCATCAACAACTGCCGCCTAAGCTCACTCGATACTGAAGATGGAGATCAGATGGTGAGAAAGAATAAGCAACAAGGAAGTCTGGCAAGGAACCACTAACCAATGACCTATCAGCCAACAAATATGCACTGGAAGGAAGTGCAGATGGATTAGGCATACACTGAGAAGGCTGACTGACTGGGGACATCACGCGTCAGGCTAGGCCGGTTGCTTGAGTGGAACCCAGATGGGAAGCGACGAGTTGGGCGTCGGCGTCGAGAGTGACATGGAGGAGATGGTGCGAGGAAGAAATGAGAGCTTGTGTGCAGTCGTGGCGACAGGTTCGAAAGATTGCAGAGAAGAGAGTGGAGTGGAGATGTGCTACTGAAGCCCTATGTTCCATTAGGAACCCAAGGGATAAATAATAATAATAATAATTAAATAATATGTATGATAGCCGTGATTCGGCAGGCTGGAAAGTCTTTTTCAAGGTCTATGCAAAGAATTTTTCAAAATAAAAATATGAACGCATATCATAATTTATTATATTGAACTGATAGAATCTTGAACCACAAATAATTTGTATATAAATTCATTTCGCATCGAATAATATAAATGTTTTACACTTTTGGAATTGTTCAATGAAAAACTGTACTTGCTATTCGAAAAAAAACACACCAAAAAACAACTAAGGGACTGTGTTTATTCTTTCACGAAAGGCATTTCATATCAAAACTTGATGCTTGAAAACAAACAAAAAAGAAAGAATGAATGTGTGTATGTTTATATGCAAGAGAAATACTGAACCCATAAACAGGTGATAATGTTGGTTAGAGATACACAAATAAACTTCATATAGAATAAGAAAATTTAATGTCTATTCTGTTATACATGATCTATATTGTAGAATAAGATGAAGAAAATCACTGTGAATGCGCGAACACCCCTACATACGCAGAATCCTGACTTATTGTGTACTACTACTTACTCAACTATTTAGTATAATACTAATAGAAAACAGTAATGAACACAAATACAGCATACTGATTAGTGTAAGTGCAATTAGTAGACATTAGCAGAGTGTATTATCTTCGTTGAGTAAGAACAGTATACAGTGAAGGAAGTATTCATTATTACTAACCTTATTATTACTATTATTATTACTTATTCACAACAGTGTCTTCTTGTAGAAAACCTATAGGAAGGTCGATGGGTTAAAACAGTGAAGAAAGAGAAAATGACAGACAGACAGACAGAGTCAGTCAGTCAGTCAATCAAATAGGAAGCAATAAAGAGTAAACTTCAGCTGAAGATAAACTCGTAATAACTAAACTTTCAAGAAAACAGTTGAGTGAAATAAACCAAGCTGGTCAATAAACAATTTGGGGGGGGGGAGGCGGGAACACAACAGTACAAGCGTATAAATCAAAAGGCTTACACAATTATGTCGCAAAGAGATATGTCTGAAAAAAGTTGAACACATAGATACACATAATTTCAATAGTATTGACAAAAAGCATAACAAAAACTGAAATCGATAAAAAGAGGTAGGATTTATTGATTGATTTAAGAGGGAGACAGAGAGAGGGAGAGAGGCAAAATAGTAGAAGATTCTTTGACAAAGAGACAATAACATGATTGAGCTAAAGCCAATATGCAAAAACAAGGAATGATAACATGTAGAAAACGGTAAGTGTACGCTGAGGTATCAAATTTCCAGCATAGTTTCCGTTATTGTGTAGTTCTAAAAACAAAACGAAAATAAATGCTAAATACAATCATCTGAATTCATTATTTTGTAAGAAAAAAATCTTACAGGAATTAGCCAAATCGAAAGTAAGAATAATTAGTCCACACTATTGGATAATACAACTAATATTATGATCATTATTTCTCCCTTGGGTTCCTAATGGAACATAGGGCTTCAGTAGCACGTCTCCACTCTACTCTCTTCTCTGCAATCTTTCGAACCTGTCGCCACGACTGCACACAAGCTCTCATTTCTTCCTCGCACCATCTCCTCCATGTCACTCTCGACGCCGACGCCCAACTCGTCGCTTCCCATCTGGGTTCCACTCAAGCAACCGGCCTAGCCTGACGCGTGATGTCCCCAGTCAGTCAGCCTTCTCAGTGTATGCCTAATCCATCTGCACTTCCTTCCAGTGCATATTTGTTGGCTGATAGGTCATTGGTTAGTGGTTCCTTGCCAGACTTCCTTGTTGCTTATTCTTTCTCACCATCTGATCTCCATCTTCAGTATCGAGTGAGCTTAGGCGGCAGTTGTTGATGAATGTCTGTAGTTTGTTGGAAATACTTTTGGTGACGCGTCAAGTCTCTGAGCCATATAGAAGCACTGACTTGACTGATGTTGGTGTTGAAAATTCGGATGTTGTTCACGCTTTATACTGTGTGGAGTGGAGTGCAGTAGATCTCCACAGTGACTTCAGATAATGTCTTGCTTTTCCGATCGTGGCTGCTTTGACATCCTCGTGTGTGTCTATGCCGCCTGTAGTTGAAACGATGCTGCCTAGGTAGTTGTAGGTTAAAGAGACTACTTCTTTTAGGTTTCTCCCTTTGATGGTGATTGGTGCTTGTTGTTGTTGGTTGGGTATCCTCATCACCTCCATCTTCTCTGCATTCACTTGAAGTCCAGTTTTCGCTGCCATGCCTCTTCTGTGAACTTGTTGGTTTTTGCCTGTGGATCTTCGAGTTTGTGCGACATTAATCATAAATCATCATTGGCGAAATCCAAATCTTCTAGGGTCTTCTCGTAGGTCCAGCATATGCCCATCTCGCTTCGGATAATACAAGTAATAACATGAAAACTATACCCGTTGCAAAAATAGTGGCTATCGTGCTTCAGTGGTGGATAACGGTTTGGAGTTTGAAGTGATTGGTCCTAGATTCGAGTTTTATTGGGAGCAACATTGGCCAATAGAAGACAGTTGCATCTAGCTGAGAAGTCTTAAATAGGACAAAATGGGAAACCTGGATCCCACTGCTAGCCAAAACTCATGATTACTATTGGAAAGAATTTATTAAATAAAAGCGTTACCGGATGGTAATTCCTACCATGCCTCCTAGTTTTAAGTGTTGGCAAAATTTCGTCATTCAGATCTGGATGCTGAATCATCAGTGTAAAGTCTGTCTACTACACTGTCAAGGTATCTGATAGTGATAACCTTAACTCTACAGATGATTCGAATCAAAGTCAATCAGTTTAGCAGTCAGCTATTTGAGCCACGATTGACCTCCTGGAAGACTAGATGACACATTAACGTCAACTCATTGTTAGTGAGCAGTCACCAATTTCACATTGTTCAGGAAAAATGCACACTGAGTTCTGTCGATCACTGCAATGTCATCACCAAATCAGCAGACTCATAGTCGTAGTGCGCTTTGATAGATTCTAAGTGCTACAAAGAAATTCACAAGAAGCTTAGAAGCACCAAGAAGTTGTTGAAATTCATGCACTGTCAAGATAATCTAATACCTTTAATCATATGGGTGTTTCGATTCATAGTTCTTTAGTACTACAGTCGCAAGCATATTGACAATCAACTGTTTTGTAAGAATTTCATCTATTGTAGGAGTTTTTTGTACTGTTATAATCACAGATGTCTTGACAGCATTGCTCCCGTTTGGTGGAATCATCGTATGAGCAGTGTTGACGTCACAGGAAGGGAACTAGGCAAGACAGGGAAGTCGATTGGTGACGTTGTGAACCTTAAGGGACTGAGATCGCCTGGATATGTGTTGAAAAAGCTGAACCACAACCTACCTTGACGTGCAATTAAGGGGAAAGTATATTGGGCTGGAAGAGGGTTCAAAGTAGCCAGACCAAAAAGTAGGACCATTCGATCAAGTCTCTGACTGTCGGTCTGAGCCGTGTGCAGAGCTGTAGACTACCTGCCAGGTTGGGGTCCTCGAGACGATAGGAAACAGTGATTGAGGACTGGCTCTTGGTGACATGGTTGGGAATCAATCACAATGTGGTGCAGACGTATTCATTCCTCGACATCGTATAGAGCTGAAATATCCTCACTAGCTTGTATCTTCAGATTCATTATTCTTTCATACAACTTTGTCTACTTTGATATCAGGCCTGTAAAGTGTGCCAACTTCAGCCGATGCAATTGTGTGTGAGATTCTGCACTGATTTCGTCAGTCAGTCAATATTACACTTTAGCATTTTACATTAAAGACTGTTAACAAAGTCTCCACATCTAGTCTATATAGGTACTGTTTTCGACAGGAGGCTGAGAAAAGGCTGAACTCGTTGACAAACTTGTGTAACTGAAATATTGTATCAGATCAAATAGGTTAGTGGCCGATAACATCAGATTAAGTGGCCCTATTGGCTTTCACCAAGTTACACCACCTGTAAGGCAAAGAAACGCAGTCTGTCCTACTCTCAATAGCGGCGAAACTTATTTAACTCCGGGGGATTTACGAGAGCTGCAGTTGAGTGATAACTCTTTAATAATGAGCCTAACATCCATGGTTTGAATTAGCTAGGACTTGTGTCTTATGCATGCTAAACCATTGTCTTCCTCCTCAACAAATGATTTTCACTGAAGTATATGGTGAAAAGTTAAGGGCGGATAGGACCAAGGCATGACATGAGTACATGAAATCCCTAATTGTTAATTTCAGTTGTGCAACGATGTATTGATTGCTAAGTTGTATTCAACAAGGAAACTGAAATCGACTGTTGTAGACGTTTGGTAATATTACTTAGGATAAAGCACAATGGTATATATGCTTATGGATCGATTAGAAGTGTGACAAAGTTAACCGTTAGCCCAATTATGCTTGAATGTATATTGATAAGAAGTGTTAGTCAACGCATGAGAGTTAATTGCTGTTTGAATCACCACACGATAGGTCAAAGTTCTCGATTCAACACAGCTGAAAGAGCATATAAGTGACCAGTCTCTGAGGATTTGCACAGACTGATATTCTCGTATTCCTTTCTTATTGGTCATCCAGGTAACTTTATCACCTAGCATGTTCATATTTCTGACAGGCGGTGGTACGTTATCTAACTAGTGGAGTCATATTGCATACTTGATTGGAAGACTTCCAGAAAGCGTTGAGCGTTATAGGTTAGATTACTTGCTACGTCATTTGGTGATCAATTCATGCTGTTTTTTAATCAGTGTACATGTTTCAACTGGTTTAGTTCTTTGGAAAAATGCCGATAACTTCTGTCAAAGTAGAAAGCATCGAGAGATTGTATAAAAATCTCAGAGATATGATGGTTTTCAGTGGTTGATACTCAGCAACTAGTGCGCAGCGATTGATAGAATTCACCTATGACTGACAAAATCAACGTAAAACCTCGCAGACAACTGCATAGGCTGAAGTTGCCACACTTCACAGTAATCGAAAAAGAACGGCTGGACAGAAAAGCCAGACAAAGCTTTATGATACGATAAGGAATCCAAGAGACAAATTAATGAGATTGCTTCAAACGCCAGAGAGTTATCCACTACACCACCGAGCCACGATAGCCACTTCTTGTGCTACGGGTATAGTTTTTAGTATAAATACAATTATACTACTGCCGAGTCCGAATCCCGGTAGGAACACCACTCACTGGGAAGCAGGTACATCCAGCTGACGAGTCCCAAATAGGATGAAATGCGCATACTGGATTCCACTGCTAGCCACGATCCATCATTAACATGATAAGAACATTGACAATGTCTAGGCATCCGCACAGGAGCCCATATGCCAATAGAGACCGATCAATTAGGTCCAATCAACGACGGTATCATATAGAAACAATTATACTAACAGCTGGCTTTTGTTTTATTGATTAAGTGTAAACACCTGCATGAGAGTGTATTGGTGTATTTGAAGTGGAACATACTTTGACTAATGTAGTCCATCTGTTTTATGGAAAGTCTACCAATATACAAATATATCTGAATTACAATTGAATCGAAAAAGGAATTACAAAAATTGTACCTACACTACTTATAACTCAACGTGTGAAATCAACACTAAATAACACTTAACATGCTCACCAGTTTCTACAACTGACGCAAAAGTATTTTTTGGACTTCGTTGTAGAACAATTGGGTTTATTTTATTTGAACCTAGACAATTGAAGAATAGAAAGAAAATATAAACAACAGAAAAAATGTAATTAAATTTGCTTTTAAAATAAAAACTCATGCAAAAAAAAATTGAATTCGAGATTATTATTAGTTGTGATTTATACACATATTAGTGAGTGAGTAGATGTTAACCCCTCAAAATATGACTGTAAGATTTTATCAGCCAAGTTTTTTTTATACTAATAAAATGTATCTACAAAACACATTGACTATTGAAAGAACTAGACTACTCATTCACTGAATAAGATGAGATAGTTAGATGGAACTCTGAAACAAATTATCTATAGAAAGTCAACACTTCTTCAGTGCTGTAGCCCTCCAATACAAGGGGAGTCTGATGAAATATCTAGCATATCATGCCAGAGCTATTTGCTCAGATAATGCTATAGAGAAATGGCTGGCTATTCAGTGAAGTTTGTAATTAGACATATGAATTTTACGAAGGTTCAGACAAGAATGTCAAAGGTTCTTAAGAAGCTGAAATTCAAGAGTGACCTTGCCACTGATCTCATCACACAACGCATAAAAGAACCGTATAAAGAGCACTCCTATCCACTGAAAACTAAACTTCTTCTTCTTCTATAAGCATGTGATCCTAGAGTAGCAAGAAATAATGAGAAACTGTCTGATGCTTTCATCTCCATGTGTATTTATCAGTTCAACTGCTTCTGCTATGGAGCTAGTTACATTGAAGAGGTAATGAGGCAGGCCCATCGTCGAATTCCTGAGCATCATCGATCGTCGTTGAGCAAGTGACAAATTAGAACAATAAAGGGTTTCATACTTGTACACTTAGTTGATACTGAACGTCAAGTAAACACTAGAAAAGCATACCAAATGAACAATATAAGCGAATAAAGTGTTTCTGCATTTCAATCCACAAATCGAGATGATTGGTCCACTGGCTTCAGTTAATAGAGAGCTAAGTCACTACACTGTATTCCGTTCAACATGATATGCCGAGGTTAGTCGAGTAGTAGTCCAGTTAAAGTAAGACGTTGTGTACACACCGGATTAGGAGGGATACGTTACATTTGTGTACCTATCATTGAATATATAGGTTTTTAACCATGGAAGAGACTAGAGACATACCTCTTCAATTCGGTAAACCAAAATAGTATTTAGAGGAATCCACGATTATAGTCATTTATACAACAATGAGTAAAGTACTTTTTCAGTTTTCAGATATTATTCAACGATAGCCCTGTGGTTGACCCATTCAGTATGACTTTGAAGTAACGCTTTCCGTTAACACAGGAGTAAAACTTCGGCGCTGTGGTAAATTGTAACTCCATTTTAGTCTGTTTATTAGAAATGCCATATACAGTGAAACAAAACTATCATTTATTATTCACAATCATATCAGTTAACTCCACAACTCTAAGACAGTTTCTATAGTCCCAATTCCCTCTTTCCTTTAGTGATAAGAATAGTAGAATTTTATATATATCTGGGACAGGTGCAGAATCATTTCTATTACTGCATGTGTTTCCTATTGGTTCAGCTGTAAATCTCTCCCTCCCTCTGCCAAACTAAGTTTTTAATACTGTCGCCCTAAGCCGACCTATTGTGGGTAATCGCACGCACGACTACAGCCGAGGTTTTCTCTAAATTTCTTATCTTTTCCTAATTGATTCTGATCGACTGCTTTGACCTATGGTACTTGACCTCGCAGTCTATGCAAGAGATTTGGTAAAACAAATAATTTTGACTAATGGCATCAATAGGATCTTCTAACCTACAAAGCTTGTTTCTAAGCGAGTTTGCTTGTCTAAATGCCACTCTAATCCCAGCCAGCCTGATTGAGGATTCTTCGTGATGCTTCTGAGGTGCCTTCCTTATGTGGTAGAGGCTTTGAATCCTTTCCCAGGCCTGTCACCATTATTACTGTTGTTAGTGAAACTATTATTAATAACACCTGGATTACAACCACTCATATTTTTCTTTAGATTTCTTACGAATTTATGAATAAATTTAGGTGGATAATTATTGAGACGCAAGGTATTCTTGATGTGTCCAATTTTTTGCCGTAGATTTTCTGGCCTACTAGGAGGATTTCTGACCTTTGATTAAAATGGGATGAGATGATTTGAAGTTTAAATAGCGATTCATATATAGAGGTTTCCTATAGACATTAGTATCTAAACTTCTATCTAGTTCTCATTTAATCTTGCAATCAAACATTGCTAGCTCACCTTCATCCCAGTCACAGGTGAATTGGATGGCACTGACCCCTGAATTTATGTGTCAAGGACCTATTAATGTGTTCAGATTTCAGTGTCATCCACATACCGGGAACATATCTTTGCAGCAGGACTAAATGTTTTAAAGTCAATCCGTTCCAAACTACCCATAAATAGGTCTGCGACGATAGGAGATATTGGTGATTCCATGACGATACCATCCGTTTGTTTATATATTTCATTTTGAAACTTTAGAAGAGTAGATGTGAGGCAAAATCGTATTATAAGCACGATTTCCTCGATCGGCACCTTAGTTCGTGGCATTCTTAGGCCCATTTCTAACTTTCTCTAGAGTTATGTAGATCAGTAGGTTCGTGTAAAGGCTAGCTGTATCAAAACTAACCATTTTTTTCACTATTATCCACTCGCATATTGGCCTATTCTATGCTTTAAACGCTTTCCATTCCTTCTTGCTTCCACAGGTAGTCAGTTAGTCAATACTAACATAGAATCTTGCGCTAGTGTGTAACGGACCAAGTTTTTAAACCGCACACCGAGGTACAAAACAATTCGAAAGTCAGCGAAACGGAATGATTATAAGTAACAGCTACAGAAAGCTGCAAGATGAGAGGAAGAGAGGTTAGGGTAAATAATGTAGTGCAGTCTCTGAAGGTTTAGACAAGAAAATGCTGATATATCTGTGTCACTTCAATTTATTTTCAACTACATCAGCCAAATTCCTTAATCATCGGTTTCGATCGTCGTTCAAACTAGAAACTGAAAGTTAACATTCCACTACACGTCTCACTATTTCTACACTCCGAGACTAATGCCAATATTTCAGTCTGATCACCTTTAGCGTGTTTGCACCCACAAGCAAACACTGGGGTTATGAGCCAAAACATTCGTCATTTGATACAGACTATAGACTGTGTACTATCATTAGTCATGGGACACACTAAGTGTGACTCATGATTCGAAACAGAAACGTAAATGCGGTTTCTGAGTTGCATTGTAATAATCCATGTACCAAAGGTTATTTCTATTCGACTGATTGCCATGTAAAAGTGTGATTCATTGTCACAGGCAGTCAACTTTCAACCAGATCACACTTTTGAATATGGCTCCATCACAAATCGGTATTCATTATAGTCTAACAGAAGTTGGAGGAACATTAGGAACCTGGGAGCAATGAACAGCTGTTTCGCCTTAATATGGGACTCATCGGCAGTGCACACACATAACCCCGCTCTTCAGGAGTCCAACTAAGGACCTTTAGGTTCCGCGACCAGCACGTTATCACTGAGTCAGGATCCAACGGACCATGTTTCCTACTTCAGTCATTTGAACATATAGCGCCACCGCTGTCCAGTGTCATCGCTGAGCAACTGTTTTCGCGTACGGCTTGCATGGCTTCACCGGTTACGACTTCTCATTAGAACTTAGAAACCCACCAGGGGGTTTGTTAGGATTTATTTATTGATTTGAGGTAGGTATTCATCATGAACGGATATCAGTGCTCCAAAGTTTCCAATGACTCTCCAATTGATGTCACTTCACGGTGAACTTTAACCTGAGATCAAAAAATATATCCCGAAAAGCCTGAAGACTTGTTCCATCTACCGCGGTCCAGATGATTAGTAGGCGATGAATGAATTTGAGTGTAACTCAGCAACTATGTACGGGTTTACACACAAGGCAATGAGGCATACTTATTATATGGTGTCTGGTGGGTAATAACTACTTGATTGAGTAGACCTCGGTAGGTGAGGTGAGTAAAGATGTGAACCCGTGACCCAGTGAGCTACACTTTCACAACTGCATAAGGAGTATCATTTTGACTATCTGAGATAGCCGTACTTTGGCAGAATAGTATTAATACTGGGTAATGATTAAAGGTGAAGTGAAAATATGGATTACAGCCGGATTCGAACCAGTGACCAACGGGTTTCCTGCCCAATGTTCTACCTCATAGCTCAGTTGGTAGAGCGTCCGGACGAAAACCCGGTAGTCGTAGATTCAAATTAGGCCACGGTTCAAATTTTCATTTCACCTGCAATTATCACACAATATAAATTTCATTAGGGAGTATTATCAGCTTTGGATTAGTTACTGTAAGACCTACAGATATTTATGCATGCTTGATTTGGTTCAAGCCACTTTAAACATATTTCTACTGAACTGTTCAATACAAAAGTGTATTCATTTGTATCCTGAATGCATAATGGGGCATTATGTACTCAAACGGATTTATTCAGAGCCTCATAGACTATAAATCTATAGGGTTGGTGACTACTTACGGAAATAGTAAACAAGACTAGCGACATCATAAACAACCTTGTAAATTATAAATGAATATTTTTATTACTATATCTTTTCTGTGTTTACCGGTAATATTTTTATTGTCTCCAATTTTTCCCTATGTATCATTTGTTTTAAAACTTGAATTTTCTTTCATCAATAGAAATAAAATAGTTAGTCTGTCTACAAATATAAATTAGGTTGGAATGGAATAATGAAAAGACAAAAGTAGTTAGGACTAAGAGAAAAGCTATTTGGCCGACATAAGTATGTCATTATTTAATTCCTACTAATGACTAACTGATTTAATTGTGGATAGCAGAGGAATCCATAATGAGCGTTTCATCGTGTTTGGACTAACTCGTCAAGTGGATGTAACTGCATCTCAGTGATTGGCGTTGTACCCACTGAGACTCGAACCTTGTGCTTGTTGCTTCAAACGTTAGAGCGTTATCCACTAAATCACAAGTATTGATTATTATTATCTTTTGATATACTTGGAATTTTCCGTTGTTATACTATTCTGAATCGATTGACCTCCGTTGACACTCCAGTTTCTATGCGGATGTCTTGATATTGCCCAAATAGTTATAAATGACTTGGTTTTATATGATGTATACAATACCACAAGAAAGCCATGGAAGGGATTATAATCATAAAAGGAGGCTTCAATGAGGATGGATGACAATTTGCAATGCATACTAAGCATAACGATCTGAAGAGATGACTCATTGGTAATCATAAAAAAGCATAGTTCATATTGCTATACATAGCACTTCTTTGATACAGATTTTACCAACCTGATATTAATTGTAAAATAGTTGGAAACTCATGAATAGATGCTACATCTTTTTGAGGACTATTCAACTCAATTATCATAAACCTGAGCACCAAACAACACACTAGGAATGCTACTGGACTAGAATATACAAATGGGTTCAATATATGTGTTAATGTGAACCTGAATAGCTTTTTTTCACTTGTAGAACACTGACATATTTGAGGAGAACATCATTGACAGATTCAAAAGGAGAATGAAACAAGATATTTAAATATCTACTAACCTACAGTACATTTCCAAACCTTATCATATAAATTAACTGGACAGCTGTTTCGTACTAGTATGGGACTCCTCAGCAGTACGAACCCACTACCCGACTAGGGATGGAATTCATGACCATCAGGTTTCACGGCGAACGCGTTAACCACTCAGTCACTGAGTCGGTTTTTTCAGTGTATCACAACTTCCAACTTCTATCAATTCACGACATACCGCGACTGTCACCCAAGGTCTTGAGTTAGCATCCACTTCACTTCCGACTGGTTGACTCCACAGATCATGACTTCTCATTAAAGCTACGTGATATCCATCGGGAAACAAATCACTGATTAGCACTATAATGTAATTTGTTTTTAAGATGAATAGGGATTTTTAATTAGAGGTAGTGGAGTCCCATACTAGTCGGACGAAACAGCTATCCAGTCCTCGCAGATTTTCAATAATTCCTCAATTGATGTCAGTCCGTGATGAATACTACCTCTTAATTAAAAATCTCCATTCATCTCAAAAATAGCAATATCTTTGTGCACATTCTGTCAAGCCACCTAGTTGACTAGTAATTGTTCTTTTCGAAATTGTGTAATCCATCCTTAGTCTTTTTTTCAAAAAATACATTTCTCAAAAATACATTACTGTATAGTGCTCATCAGTGATTTGCTTCCAGATGGATATCATGAAGCTCTAATGAGAAGTCATGATCTGTGGAGTCAACCAGTCGGAAGTGAAGTGGATGCTAACTGAAGATTTTGGATGACAGTTGCGATATGGCGTGAATTGAGAAGTTAGAATCTGTGGACCAATGAAAACCGACCCAGTGGCTGAATGGTTAACACGTTTGTGGTGAAACCGGAAGGTCCTGAGTTCGGTCCCTATCCGGGTCATGGGTGCGTACTGCTCAGAAGTCTCATACTAGAACAAAACAGGTGTCCAGTGCTCCCAGATTTTCAATGGTTCCCCAACTAATATCAGTCCATGATGAATACTACTTCTAAATTAAGAAATTCCCCATTCATCTCAAAAATATGTAAAATAACAACTTAAATAGAACAATGAAAATTCTTCGATTATTACCTAAAACAACCTAACAATCAAGTCAGTTATGTCTACTCCACGTGGCATGCATATATATATATATATATATATATATATATATATATATATATATATATATATATATGAATTTGGCTTCTAATGTTAATCCTTAAAGAAAATCACCTAGACATTAGTGAATCCTTATAAACCTCCATTTGAAGTGTATTTCAGAGTTCATTAGTCACCTACTTAGAAATGGATTTCTTGAAGTTTCATGACAAATTGTTACCAATTGGGTTAACCACTTCAAGAATGAGGTGGATGTCAACCGATGACACTGGGTAATTGTCACGCGTTATTACCACAGGTTGACAGGATATAGGAAAATCTTAAAATTTTCATTCTATTCCAGTTGCTGAATACCAACATGCTCACCATGAGACCTGAGAGTGAAAAGTTTGGAATCTCGCAAGATTATGAGTGGGCGTTTATATCAGTCTGCGTTGACATCGTAATTTTTTCTTCGATGCACTAATATATTAAATGAGTTCAAACATATGAAGATGCTACCTACTTGTGTGCGTGGCTAGGCTGTTAAAAAAGTTTTATAATCAACTTGAAGTTCGGACCCCGTAGCTAACTTTAACAAAAGAAGGCTGTTAACACTTATAAAGTTAAAAGTTGACCAGTATACTTCACTTCCGGTTATTGCTGTGGTCTACATCTCTTTTGTATATAGGACGGGAAAAGGCTATGAGTTCATGACCTTTAATGACACTCTATTTCTATAAAAGGGTGACTAAACGGCTTGATTCGCACACTGTAGGTGCTAGAATTCCACTGGGGGCATGTGGAAAATATGCTGCAACAACCTTGGCCAGGGCAGATTGACTAATTCCCTGTCAACTGACCTACTTGTGTTAAGAAGACCCTCTGAGATAGCTGCATTTCGGCGCATTGGTGTTATTGATACTAGGGTGATGAGTGAAGGTGAAATGGAAACTCGGGTCACGGTAGTATTCAAACTGAACTTCTACTGCCTGAGCACTGCAAGATGACAATGCCAACCAGCTCTTCACTTCAGTCACTGAGGACTTTGAAAGTGTAGGTTTGTGGGGATTTATTAATTACTTTCATCATGGACTGACATCAGTTGGAGGAACACTGGAGACCTGGGAACAATGGACAGTCGTTTCGTCCTAGCATGGAACTCTTCAGCAGTGCGCACCCGAAACCTTCAGCTTCACGTTATCATTGAACCACTGGTCTATATTTCCTACAGTGATCCAATATTCTCAAAAGTGGTCATTTGATTGAACGATGAGAATGGTCTGAATTAAGACACTCTATATTACTCTATGGACCAACAAACTGCTACTAAATTATCAACTGACTATCTGAAATAGCTGTAGTTTGGCAGACTTGTATTTATACTGAGTAATGATTTAAGGTGAAATGAAAAATTGGACCGTGGCCAGATTTGAACCAGTGACCAGCGGGTTTCCAACCCGATGCTCTAAGAACATCGAAGCTCAGTTGGTAGAGAGTCGGGATAGAAACCCGGTAGTCACTGTTTCGAATCCGGCTGCAGTCAAAATTTTTGTTTCACCTTCAATTATTACTGTTACTGAATTGTAAACTTACTATTCCAACTCCAGCCAAAGCACTTTTGTGTACATCTCATCAATACACTTAAAGGATATATTCTCTTCTTTGATTTCATTAGCTATAGGTGTATCTGAAAACCCTTCTTAAAGTTTTTAATTTACATTCAACATTTGGAAAATGCATGAAGAATGATCTCCTATGTTTGTTAGCATGTTAATCATGAATCGTCTTATAATGTACTATAAATCATAATTGTACAATTTTGGAGTGTAGACACTCTGTATGCTGTTAAGGATTTTGAGTCTTACATTATCAAAGCGACAAATCTATTTACAGAGAAGGATAAACTCAAAGTTTATTCATTTCTTAGTGGTAATTTATCATCCATGTTCAAGAGACAACCAAGTAAGGTATACCACAGATTATTTTGAAAGGTACTCAAGTTATTAGTACAGAGATATAAAAGCACAAAGGTTTACAATAACTTAACTTTAGGAATATAAGCTTTTATTTATTTCTATTGTAATAACATTATTCATATGAACGATATAAAATCAAGTACTTACCATCAAACTTAGGTGTTTTAAAAGTAAATTTCCCTGATAAATTACCAGATTGATCTCTCATTGTGGTTGACTTTGAACAGGCGTATTCATTACAAACATTCAAAGTGATATCATGTTGTGTATCAGCGCTGAGATTTGTTAAATGATGCCATATCCTTCTAAGATTCGATGAGCCAATATTCAATAGTAATTCTTTTCGTTCACCTGTTTGTATACTAGTATCATCGATATAAGTGGAGACCTTATCCAATTTATCATGTTCTAAGCTGAATACACGTTCATAATTCTTTGGAGAACGTTGAACAATTGAACCACCAGCCTCCTGTAGAATGAAATAAGGTAATTAAAAAAAGTTTAACTAAAGGAAATTGATAGTGTAAAACTCTAACCGTCAATTCTGACAAAGAGATTTAATCAGCAGTCCTGAAACGTATAGTAGTTAGTTAGGTTATCATAACTGTGAAACGTGTCCAGTTTTATATGATGGATATTTTAAAGAGGTGTTACGTATGTCGTTCTAAGCTTAGATATCATTTCATTCCTTATTAGGAATATGAGACAAAATTGCCTATAAACTGCAAAACCCCGCTGTGATTTTAAATCTCCACATTGTTTGAAGAAACGGCAAATCTTTCAACGAAGGACAAACAATATAAAAAAATTTTAGCCCATGGTTTTGTAATTCATCAACACTGATAGGTTCGTTAAATAAAGTTACCGAAAATATTGTACACTGACTAGTTGGGATCCCTGAGAAGAAAAGGATCAGTGGTTGGTGACTCTTGGTGTAATGGTTGGCTGAAAATCCGTCTCAATATGGTACAGATGTATCCACTTCTCCTTGTCTTCTATAGCTTGAATATTCGCACTAACCTTTCTTCATCTTCAGATTGTTTCTCCTCTTACACAACTTTGTCTACTATGATATGGGCCGTTTCCTATCCACCTTCTCTTTGTATACTAACAACTGGGAAATGTGGCAACTTCAGCTGATGCAGTTGTGTGAAAAGTTCTACGTTGATTTTGTCTGTCCATCATACTTTAAAGTTATCATAACTAGGAGGAACAAGAAAATAGTTGCAGAAACTTCAAGACTTATTGTTTTCCTAATGAAAAAGTTCAGTTTTTTTGACAATGACTAACAATATTTGCAAACAAACCAGTCAAAAAACAAGGATAATATTGCACAAGAAACTCTCGCATCGACAAAAAACAACAGGAAAGTGTGAGATCATACATCATAATAGCAAAAACTTTAGATGATGCTGAACAAGCAGAATATACTGATTTTCCTCTGATAAAAATGAACAGACTTCCAAAAGGTTCTTATAAGACTTGATTTCATTTACAGTACTGATAAAACGCCGTTAAAGTTCAGTTTATAAATCAGCTTTCAAGAATGAAGGTTAAATCATAAGAACTTTTATGCGTGTAAGTGTTCAAACACTACTTGTATATGATGTTTCCCACCGATCGACCATATTTCAGATACTTTCAACCCAGTGTCATTTCATTCATTAGAAAACCCATGGGTACCAACAGGCAGGAAATCTAGCTGCGTGGTTTCCACCCAACTGTCGCCAACCAAATAAAACTCATACATACCATTTCTCTATGGGTGTCAACGAACTTATTCTAGTAAGCAACTAAAATTCCCTAGGAGACAATTTAGAGGTTAAAGTTTGCTAGTTCCCCAGCCATGGAATCCAGGACACGTGCTTCCTTCTATTTAGGACTCACTCGTCAGCTGCGATAGTCCTTTAACATCAGGATTATAACTAAAAGCTTAACAGAACAGATGGTACTGTGTATAGAACAAACCACATCAGACTGCAGGTATTAAGTTTAGACAGAAAAGGGAACACTGTAGAAAAGACAATGAGAAAAAAATTCTCCAAAATAGATTTTGGTATGTGTGTGGGGGTAGCCAATAAAAGGAAAACTAGTCTAGTTATAACTGATTTATGATATTGCCAAGAAATTAATTAACCAACATATTAACATGTGCGTGTACCAGAAGGAAGCAAAGAAAACAAGAAACAGTTGACAAATTTTGTTTTCTTAAACTATTCAATGGTGTCTATTGAGGAGATAGTGGATAATGTATAACTTCATCTGTAGACAAACAGGAATACAATGGACAATAGTCATCTGATTGACTGAAAATTCAACGAACATATACACTAACATGAAACACTAGTCACTAAAATGGAACATGAGATTAGAATGAGTGAATAACCAAAGAAAATAAATAAATAATCATAACAAACTCCATGATTACAAAGAATCAAAGCAGGCGAAAGTAACAACAGTTCCGACAACACGCTGTTATAGGTCAGATAGTCATGTGGAAGAAAACAACAATGATGAGTTATAGGCATAAATAAGAGAATTTACATGTCTGATAATTGTAGATAATAAAAAAGTTTCTTCCTGATGTTCAGGAGACTACTGGCAGAAAGTAGTAAGGTAAGACTAGTTGTAAGTTGTAAGAAGAGAATAACAATCAATTGATTGACAGGATAAATGAAACTGAATATAGATGTAAGTTAGGAGAATGATATTGAGAAGAAGATATCGGTGTGAATAAGCTAACAACTTTAGTGGCATCTCATAACTACTGGTACAGATGAGATAAGTTGAAAAACACAGTGAACAGAGATTCAGTCAACCCCAGTATACTTTTGTAACTCTACTGTTAGTGGATCAATCCATATCTCTACACATTGATTACATCTGTGTCAGAAGTGATGCATTAAAAGTCTTTATTCGTGTAGATCATCAATGAAGTGGTTAATCTGTCTTAACTCAAATGATTATCTCTGATACGACCTCCAGATTAAAAGTTATATCGAGAAGTGAATATGGTACGGTTAATGGAGTATAACAATAACTCCAGAAAATTAAACAAGTCAAATATGTGAATGAATGCTAACGATAGATTGTAGCTTCAGCAAATACAAATAAATGACATAGCTTCTTTGATGATTTTCATCAGCCATTCAAGTCGTTTACTCCTGTCATCCATTTTATTTAAGGAAGTTGAAAAAGAATACTAAAAAGCCTGAGCGAGTAAAATAGCAGAGTAGGAAATACTGACCAATTGGAGATTTGTGGGGATTTGTTAACTGATTTCAGGTTGGTATTCATCATGAACTGACATTAGTTGGAGAAACTTTGCAAACCTGCGAGAGCTGGACAGCTGTTACAATCTTATTAGCAGGCTCCTCAGCAGTGCACACTCATTGGCCCAACCCTCTGCGGATTGAACACAGGACTTACAGTTTCCACAGCCGGCACGTTACCATTAAACCAGTGGGTTAGAAATTCAGTGGTGCAGATTCCCCACTTCTGTCAGTTGACGATAGAGCGTGACGTCCATCCAATGCCGTCATTGATTACCTGTCCTGCGAATGTGGAACATTGGATTCTGACCCAGTGGCTTAATGCTAACATTCTCACCACGGAACCTATTATTAATATTATTATTTGTCCTTTGAGTTCCTAGTGGGACATAGAGCCTAAGTGGCACGTCGCCATTTCACCCTCTTTCTCGCCAGTCTATTCCACTTGGATCTATGAATGCCCAGAAACTTTCATTTCTTCCTCACACCATCTCCTCCATACCACCCTCAGACCCCAAATTTGTCGCTTGCCATTTGAGGGCCTGGCCTGACGCACGGTGCCTTCAAACGGCCTTCTTGGTGTGTCCAATCCAATCCATCTCAACTTTCTTCGTCTGTATATTCGTTGGGCGATAGGTTCTTGGTTGGTTCGTTGACAGGCCAGAATCCCTCTTTGCTTACTCTTTCTGGCCATCTGATCCCCATCTTCAGTATCGAGTGCGCGTAGGCGGCGGTTATTCATGTATTTCTGCGGCTTGTTGGAAATGCTTTTCGTCACGTATCAAGTCTATCAACCATCACATACAAGCACTGACTTACTTGAGTGAATTAGCGTTGAAAATCCGGATGTTGTTCACGCTTTATGCTGAGTGGAGTGCAGTAGATCTCTACACTGAATTCAGATTAATGAAGGAAGGCCTGTCTTGCTCTTTCTGATTCTGACTGGCTTTGACACAGTCATCTGTGTCTGTGCCGCCTGTAGTTGAAACGATGTTGCCTCCTAGGTAGCTGAAAGAAGCAACTTCTTTCACATTTCTCCTATTGATAGTGATTGGTGCTTGTTACTGTTGTCGGTGGTTGGGTAGTATCTTCATCACTTCTGTCTTCTCTACGTTCACCTGAAGGAATTCCCATCTTCCTTAGCTGCCCTGCCTCTTCTGTCAACTTATTAGTTTTTGCCTGTAGATCTTCGAGTTCGTCCGACATAAGACACAAGACATAAATCACCAGTGAAATTCAAATCTTCCAGTGTCTTTTCATCGTTCAAACAGCGTATGCCCATTTTCCTCCTCCTCATGGTTTGCTGCATGATCCAGTCGACCACAATCAGGAAGATCATCGGAGACAGTAGGCAACCTCGTCATACTCCTGTCTTCACTTCACTTCAAAGGCAACATTGAGCGTTCCATTGTGAACCACTTGGCATGTAGACCTTGGTTCGATCCCTGGCGGGGTGGAGTCACGAGTGCGCTCTGCTGAGGAGTCCTAAGCTAGTACAAAAAGTCGTCCAGTGCTCTAAGGTTTCCAATGACTCTTCAACTGATGTCAATCCATCATAAATCCCAACCTGAAATACTGAACAACTAGACACCGAAAGGCCTCGACTAAACTTTGATGCATACAGATAGAGAGAAAATGCACGAAAGCACCGAAAACAAGGATAAACCAGGTAGGTTTGGCGATAAAACCAGGATGTAAAGTGGTAGAGTGTCTTAACAGTGAAACCATACAGATTAGTCCTCGTTTAACTTTGTCATTCATCAAAGTGTACTTATCAATGATCGATAGTGCCTAGTAGTGGAATCCAGGTTGCATGTATCGTTCTATTTGAGGCTCACTAGCCAGCTGTACCTGTCTACCAATGTTGTTCCCATTAGGACTCGAACTTAGGACTGGTCGCTTCAAACGTCAGACCACCGAATCACAATAGCCACTTCTTGTGCAAGAGGTATTGTTTTAATGTTGTTGGTTGTATTATCTCGTCTATCGAGTCCTACTGGTAATAGTATCGCTCACTGGGAGACAGGTACATCCAACTGACGGGTCTGGAATAGAACGAAACGTGCGTCAAGCTGGATTCCACTCCTAGCCACTACCCATCATTACTACATAACACAGACAATATCAAGGCATCTATGCGGGAGCCAATATGCCAAAAGAAACCGATCAATTAAGTTCACTCAACGACGGGATAATTCAAAGAATAACATCAAAGTCTATACATTTTTTTTATGTCGAATGATTATAGGAATATAAAAGACATGTTGGTTTATTAATCGTATCAATGTATTAGTATAAGAAACGAATCCTATACACTCAGTGATTTCATTTTGAGTGTACAAAACTGTCATTGAACACAAACCCGATTTGTTAGCAATAATTTTTATGCCTTATTTATATCCAGCTATTAGATGAAATAAAAACGACTGGGAAATTTATTTATTCTGTGCCTGATATTTCGTGATGAATACAGATATATGTCAGATATATATGTATATGACAGATATTATAGCCATAAACGGAACTTGAAGGTGGCGGGTTCGATCCATGGTGGGGTCGTGGGTGCGCACTGCTGGGGAGTCCCATACTAGGATGAAACAGCTGTCCAGTGCTCCCAGGTTTCCTTTGTTCCTCTCCAACTGGTGTCAGTCTACGATGAATAACAACTTGGAATAGAGATATGTTTAGTCTAGAGATTGGAGTGATTAGAGAAGTCTATTATACAAGATGTATGATACAACTCGAACGGAGGATGAAGTTTCCTAATTATTGAGGATAAATTATGAAATAAGAGGATTCATTTAGTAGTCAGTCATCGTTTTATAAGTGATCCACTTTAGTTAATATCAAGTCAGATATTGGTGATTATAACAGCAACCAGAGCGATGAAATTTGTACCATCCCTCCTGGTTGGGGAATGGGTCTTCGAAGGCAGTCTCTGGATAACTTCTGAACTTGGTCAATTGTCTGCTAATCACGCAAGTAGTAAGGGCTGAAATGTCTAAACACAGTGGTAGGAGGGCCTATACTAGCTGAGTGATTAGTGTGAAGTACTGCTGCGCTAAGCAAGATAATCCAGGCCAGGCACTTGGTGCCGTATAATGGAAGGAAGTAGATACTCGGACCTACTCTGAAAACGGAAATGATGAGCCTGTTATGTATATCATTTTCATGCATATGCGCCTAATTGAAAGCTGTGTGTACGGTCGACATCGGAAATTAAGGAAAACCTAGAAAACTGAAAATCCATATATACTATTCACTACATATGATGGCGAAATGCACACTTGTATAGACTGATATCACAGTTGCCGTGCCATTGCTGGTCATGCCACGATGGACATCTTAGCTGCTGAGTAGCAATATAAATCCATGATCACGCTACAAGATGTGGATACTTTTTAAAAAAATGACTGAGAATAGAATAAAACACTTACTGTATTCTTTGATGTTTCATGAATACTGATGGTGACATTCTTCAGAGGTGCTCGTGATTGAGTCTGCCAGTGTAGTAAATAGTAATCAGCAAATTCTGTGGAATTAGTAGATAAAATCTTTGGAGGTGCCGGAGCCACTATGAGCATGAAGATAACAAAATCAAGGAAGGAGAAAAAAAAGGGGAGACATAAATTAGTGTGTGAGTAATGAAAATAACTCTGAATTTCGATAAGTGATATGCGTTTAATCAAAATTAACAAAATGACGGGTAGAATCAACGTAGAAACTCGTATACAGGTGCATCGGTTCAAGTTGGCACACTTTACAGGTGGATAGAAAAGGAGTGATATTATCAAAGTAGACAACGTTGTGCGACGGAATAAACAGTCTGAAGACACAGGTTAGTGTGGATATTCAGGCCTTAGAAGATGTCAAGGAGTGAATACATTTGTGCCATTGTGACGGGATTTCAACCATGTCACTGAGAGTCTTCAACCACTGATCGCTATTGTCTCGTGACCTCTGCCCCCTGACCAACAGTTAGGGACTCCACCGACTGGTACCACGTCTTGGTGTGGCCGCCATGAACCCTCGTCTAACCTAATCCAACTTCACCTAGCGTGGCATCACACGACGGGGTAGACAGTGGCTCGGCATGAGGAATACATATTCAAGCCACCACCCTAACAACCATAGCTCACTTCTCATGTCTTGAGATGTTTTCATTCTTCAACTATTCAAGTCGTAATCTGCCTCTCTTTCCACCCAAAATTCCATCACAGAATCAACATTATTATTAACAGTGGTAATAATAATATGGTTCAACAAGACGTGAAATATATCCAAAAAGTTGTTTTCCATTCAACGTAGTCTAGTAATATCCGATAAAAACCAGTGACTAGCTTCGAGAGGTGGTTATTCCTGAAGTTCTAATGAGAAGTTGTGACAAGTGGAGTTAACTAAGTCGAACATGAGGACAATTACTCAACGACGACATTAGATGGAAGCCGCACTATGTCTCGAACTGACAGAAGTTGGGAAGATGGATTACTGGATTCCAACCCAGTGGTTCCATGGTAGTGACTTGGACGCGGAACCTTAAGGTTCTAGGTCCGATCCCCGACGGGGTTGGGATCATGGGTGCGCATTAACTGTATTGTTTACAATTTGAAAAAAGATATAATTCAAAGTAAAGTTTGATATCCTATCCCAGCAACTTCACGTATGTTATATATCAGTCGAAAAGTGGGAAATGTGAATCTCAGATAGGCCTAACTCGTCATGTATTGTTTTAGAGGGTATTCTACTTATGACTTCATTGGTAACATTACTGCATAGCTCCCACCGTTCAAGAGGTTTCAATTAATCTCTCTCTCTCTCTCTCTCATCCATTTATGTATAACTTGTAGTTCAGAAATCCACTGCTGTGAATTATTTCATGTTTTTTATTCTTGAAATCAGTTCTTTCGTTTTTATAAATTATGCTGCGTTGTGGTCGAGTAATTTCGTAGTATATACAGATGAATTAGATCACCTGAAATGGATATGGACAGTAAGCAGCAGACTTAGGATTCTGTTGTATGTGGTTGCTAGGGCTGAACTATGGATAGGTGAATTGAGTATACGTGACTGGGCAAGTATATTCGAGACTAATCACATACAATGTCAGCGCCAAAACTGAATCGACAGTATCATGTGCGTAAGACAATTGGAACCAGGAAAAGTTATAGGAAACTGGCGATGAGATTAATTCAGGAATATAGCACAACAGAGTTCAAATGTACCATAGTACATTCTACCAGTATAGTTTGAAAGAAGAATGCGATCAATTCATTCATGAACAACTAAGTGTACAGAATTCCATTTTAGTCTGCTTATTAGAAATGTCACACGGTCAAGGAACTGTATCATTTACTGGTTAACAACGTTTCGGACACAATTGATTGTCCATGGTTATATCAGTTTACTTCACAACTTTGAGACAGAGCTTATATAGTCGTTAATTTTCTCTCTCCTTTATTGACAAGAACAGTAGAATTTTCGATATATCTGAGACAGGTGCAGAATCATCTCTATTATTACTGCATGTATTTCATGTTGCCTCAATGAACAAAGATTTGTTTATTAATGTCTCCTTCTCTCTACACAACTAAGTTGGTTTTTTATGTTGTCGCTCTAAGCCACCCTATTATGTGATTGTGAGTAATTGCATGGATAGCTACAGTCGAGGTTTTCTTTAAATTTCTTACCTTATCAAGATCTATGAATCTTTATTTTTGTTCGGTTAGCCTAACCTCCTAATTATTGCAAATTATTGTGCCTAATTGCATCATTAGGATCTTTTAACCTGCATAAGTCAAAGTTGTCAACCTGGTGCGATTAAAATAGCAGAGCACAAAAACAAGATTAGTAGATCCTAATGAGAAAACCTCGGTTATAGCTCTGCATGCGATGACACACAACCACAGTAGATAGAGGGACAGTATTAAAAACTTAGTATGATAGAGGGAGAGAGAGATCGATAAACGAATCCTTGTTCATCGAATCAACAACAAATACATGCAGTAATAGAAATGATTCTACACATGTTGCAGATATACAGAAAATTCTACCATTCTTGTCATCAAGAAGGAGGGAAAATTAGGATGACATAAACTCTATCTCAAAGTTGTAAAGTTAACTGATATGACTGTGGACAATCAGTTGTCTCCGAAAGGTTGTTAACCAGTAAATGATACTGTTCCTTGACTGTGTGACATTTCTAATGGAATCATAATTTATCGCAGTGCCCAAGTTTTATACTCTCATATCAATGAGTGCACAGAAGTTTCTCATTAGTGTACAATGTCGATCAACAATCACAGGATAACAAGGCTGAAACTACTATCACTTTTGTGTCCGCCAACCAAATAGTATTACCATCCATTAGATGTTAGATCTGCCTCATGTTGATGGATGCTTGTAAGATATCCATTTCAACCTTCCAAGGTTTGCACAACACTACTGCACAACTGAAGCATCAGAAGTAAGTTATTTTTTAGCCTAATATTCATTTCTAAAGGACTATTGTAAGTAAAATAAGCAACAAGGAGCTCTGGGAACGAACCAACCAAGAACCTATCACGCAACAAATATGCAGGAGGAGGTGGAGATGGATTGGGCATGCACTGAGAAGGCCGACTGAGGACATCACGCGTCAGGCCAGTTGCTCGAGTGGAATCCCCATGGGAAGCGACGAGTTGGACGTCCGAGGGTGACATGGAGGAGTTCGTGCGAGGAGGAAATGAGAGCTACTGGGCTGTCATGGAACCAGGTTCAAAAGATCTCAGAGAACAGAATTCACTGGAGACGTGCTACTGAAGCCCTATGTTCCACTAGGAACCCAAGGGACTAATAATAAAATAATAAATAATTGTAAGTAAAAATCCCGGCATTTTCCTTCTACCAATATAAACAGAATGAACTATCAGAACTTGGTTACTTTGTGTAGAGACAAGTAGCAGCTGATTCTACGTATATATGTGGCCACTTCGTTTTCAAGGGATATCTAGTCAAGATTAGAGTTGTTTCAAGGACAAGTTATAATGTTTTTCTTTGCTAAAAAGATGCATTTCGATTTCCATCCGCCAGTACAGTCAAACTGGTGGAATTTGAGTCATAATTACTACTTGAAAAATGTATGCCACCACGATGAGAAATGGATGAATTCTTTCTTTGATATCACTTTATACTTGATGCGCAGGAGGTAATTGGTGTTCACGAATAGTGAAGATGAGACATTAATCGTTTAGACTCATTTTTATGTTTTTGATTATTGAACAACGTTGTCATATTCAAAAGTTTGTTCACACAATATTATTAACCAAACATATATAACAAACATAGGATTAGTTCCGAGTGCGATGATTGAATGACTTATGAATTGGAAAATCTAGTCAGAAAACAAAATCATAAGACAACTCGGCAAACTTGAGCACGTTCATATGATAGCTACTAAGCGGCTATTATGACCTAAGTAGGTTAAACAGCATTTGAACAGATGAAGATTGAATGTCTAGATCAGTGTAATCACAAATCAGAAATTTATACTTTTTGGATACTTGTAAATTTTCCGTTGCTTTACAAGGTCAAACTGCTCGACCTCTGTTGGCCGATGGCGTCCTATGTGGATGCTTTCATAATGCTAGATATTCATGACATCACATTCATCTTGGTGACTTGTCGCGGATGAGCATAACATCATGAATATCCAGCAGTATCGAGGGATCCGCATAGGAAGTCATTGGCCAACAGAGGTTGAGCAATGCAACCCTATATTAGCAACGAGAAATTACAAGTATCAAGCAATAACAAATGATACTCGTTGTACAAATTCTGGCTCTCATGCCCCAGTGACTTAGTAGATAACGCTTTGCTGTTTTAAGCGATAGGTACTGGGTTTGAATCTCAGTGGCGACAACACCAATCACATCCAGCTGATGAGTGAATCCTAAGTAGGAAGAAACGCTCTTCTGGAATCCTATTGCAAGAGACCAAAATGTATATAACAGAAATTTATTCACTCACGAAATCGCATTGTTGAGGAAAAAGATGAAATAGAACCAAATATTCCTACATATGTAAACCACTGATTCATGGATTTGAACTCCACCGACTGGAATGTGTATACTTCAATAGCATCGGTACTGCCTACCCAGTGAGCCTAGTTCAAAGCTAAACATATGAATTTGGATGAATTTGCCGAGTTGCAGTAGTTTCATCTACTTGCTTATATCCATTGGGGAGGGAACAATCGAACTATAGTCAGATATAATTAGGTTCATATAATTTGGTGGTCCGTAGTAATTAACTAATTTCAAAGCAGTATTTATCACGAAGAACCTTTGAAAACTTGAAAGTAGTGGATGGCTGTTCCATTCTAATACGGGACTCCCCAACAGCGGTCCATGGCGGGGTCATAGGTTGGCGGCACTACTCAGCAGTCCTGTACTAATAAAAAACAGATATCCAGGGATTCTAGGTTTATTCAATAGCTCTTCAACTTGTGTAGGTCCATAATGAATGCTACCTTGAAAACTGTAAAATAGATAAAGGTCACTGTCAGCGGTAACAGGGCATACTACTGATAGCTACTTACAGTTACTCATTGCTTAATGAGAACTGTTTTGTCTACTCCAGAGGGATTAAAACCTTTTCTCAGTTGTGCTAAATCTTAACACAAGGATGTATGAGTTGTACATCATTTTGATAAAATCAAAAGAGTTTGTTTGATGGAGCGGTAGCTTACTCCATACGCAAAAAATTGGTTAGCGAGCTTATACTACTCTGTTGGATTTGGATGGTTGGATAATATCATCAGCACACAGAGCCTGGTTAACTTATTGCTGTGTAACTCGGATGACTAAAGTTTGAACAAATTTCATTTCAAATGCAAATAAATGAAAACACACCTGTCAACTCCAATTTTTCATTTACACTGGCCAAACTATTATTTGCTGTGCACGTATATTCATGTAAATGTTGAAGTGTTACTCTGTTTATTACAACAGGATAGGCCAGTGTTCCACCTTGTGGTTGTTCAGATAACACACGTGGATCACCTAAGGGTAGATCACTGCAATTTAATGTTGGTCTTGGATATCCTGTAACAATAATCTACAATGTACAATATAACATGAGAAGAAGAGTTAGAGGGAAGTGATGTAACAGCTTAATATGATCAACTAAATGAGGAGAATATATATATCAGAAGATCGGTCAGATGACATCATTGTTCGTCGAGTGATAATATTCACAATGTCAGCAAGGAATCGTCATCGTATAAATTTGGCGAAATTGTATCAATTTACACTGACAGACTGGAAAAATCAATGTGTAACCTTGTACATAACTGCATCGCCTAAGTGGCCATACTTCACAGTAGTGTGTAAAGAAGTTTGTATGAGAGAATAAACAACCTAAAGATGTCAAGGAGTGCTGAATAGTTCTACGCTACACTGTGACTGGTTTTAAGCCATGTCATTAAGAGTCCTCCACGACTGGTTCCTATCGTCTTGAGAACCCCCGGGGCAGGTAGCCTCCCCACGCTAAGCAACAACGAATTCAGACGGTTGGTCCCATCGGTCAGGACGTCTTACCAGAACTTCGTGATTTACACCTCGAGGAAAGTCACCAATGGACACTAGATAAATTATGTTTGTAGGTTTTGGGGGTTGTTTATTGGTTTCAGATTGATATTCACCATGGACGGACTTCAGCTGAAGAAACACCGGAAACCTGGGAGCACTGGGTAGCTGTTTGGTTCTAGTATTATTGTTATCACTAGGAAGTAAATGATATACTAGTGTAACGCGTAAAAAAGTTCTCTTGGACTTCAAGACCAAGTGCTTATTGTTCATCTGAAGATAAAGGGTAGTACAAAGGTTCCAGCTTTAGGAGACTTTAAAGAGTGAATACGTCTGCATCATTGCGACCGATTATCAGCCACGTCACCAAGAATCCTCGACCACTGATCTATATGGTTCCTGGGACCTCAGTCAAGTAGTTTACACCTCTCTACACCACTGAGACCAATAATCAGAGACTTCACTGACTGAAGCCAAGTCTTAGTCTGACCACGCTGAACCCTCTTCCAACCTCTTATCCAATTTCTCCTAACATGGTAAATTGTAGTACGTGGTTGATCGATATTCGCCGTATATGTCCCAGCCATCACAGTTGACTGAGGTTCAGAACCTCATCAGTTGACTTGTCTATCTCACTAATATCCTTCACCTGACTTCAACATTGCACACACGGTAATTGCACAAAATTTGAAACAGTCCCTTTTATGAACTTCGATAGTGTAATTAGAAGACGAAGTTTATCTGAGCAATGTGATGTATTTGCGCAATACATTTCGAACAATCTCATCACACATTTACTTGTCAAGTCAATATATATTAAACTGAGGACTGGGAGGGGGGATAAATACAACAATTAACACAATAGGGGATTAAAATTAAAAAAGATGAGGACAAACAGGAAGTGACATAGCTGGTCCTAATCTTGGTAAGAAAACAAAGCTGACTAAGGTAGGTGTAGTGTAATAACAAACTGTTTTTGTACACATAAAGGTGGTTTAAATTTGTGTATGGCTATGGCTTTCGCAAATCTCAAATACGTCCCTGACTGTTTCTACATGAAACTTTGAAAGCTGTTTGAACACTAACTTTGTGACCTGTTTCTATGATATGTTTAGCTATAGATGAAGAGGGTCGTCTCCCACCAGCGTTTATCACTGTTTCACACTCCATTTGTTTTTGAAGCCATTTAGGCACATGTTCTCTCACCCTCAACTGCATAATTCGATTACTCCTCCCTATGAATGTGTGACCACACACACATGTAAATTGGTAAACATAATGGGATGTGACGTAATCACTGATGCAGTGTTTAGGTTTTTGGTGAAGCATGTGTTTTGTTTTCTCCACAATGGCAAGATTCGCCGCATAATACGTTTTCTTAATGGCTGATGTCAGCCTACGTCTCAAAATGATACTAATTAGTTCCCCTCTGTATGCTAGAGTGATATGGACATTTTTTTAAGGACCGTGTATAGAGTTGACTTTGGTGCTACTTGACCTCTACAACGGTTTATAAACTTCATCGGATATCCATTTCCCATAAGTGCTTTGCTCAGTAATTTGATGTTTTCATCCATCGCATCTAGTGTACTGATACGATAGATCCTAGTAAACAGGCATTTTACTAAACCTCGCTTGTATCCGATTGGACAAAAACTGTGGAAATTTAGGTATTGTCCTGTCCATGCAGGCTTTCTGTAAACTGACCGTCTTAGTGAACCATCTTCTCGTCGACTGAGAAGTTTATCTAGGAATGGCAGTTGATTACTATTCTCTTTCTCACATGTCAGGTTGATGTGTGTTTGTATGGCGTTAAGTTTATTTAGCAGACAAACCATATCCTCATGCGCCTCACAAATCACCATGATGTCATCAACATATCTCTTGTAAAGAGGAACTTTAGCGATGAGATCACCAGCCAGATTTTCAATATATGACATATAAATATCAGCCAGTAGTGGTCCTAAAGGACTATCCATAGCTACACCGTCAACTTGTCGAAAGCGTTCACCTTCAAATGTGAAGTGGACTTTGTCGGTACACAGCAATACTAACTCCTTCAGAAAGGTTGGAGTAATAGGAAATGGGAGGATTTTTGAGGATATATAGTCACAGAGAATGCTAATAGTCTTGGCCAATGGCACGTTAGTGAATAAGGAATTTACGTCGAAAGAGTAGATAATCTTGTTTTTTATATTCATGTTACTAAGACAGTCAACAATTTGAAAAGAATCTTTCAATGAAAACTTACAGAATTCGTTTCGAACTGGATTTAACATTTTTACCAACCATTTCACCAGTTTATGTGTGGGAGAACGACACCGATAATATACGGCGTAAGAAATTATTAGCTTTATGAATCTCAGGTAATCCATATAAATTTGGAAATTCGGATCCCATAGGTTTCAATGAATTAAATTCCTCCTTGCTAACGGCATTCATATTCAAAAGTTTTACTAAGTGAGTGGTTACTTTTGCTTCCAATTTTCTAATATCTTCTGATGAGACATCGGCTATGAATTTGCTTTCGTCGCTGAGGATGGATAACATTTTATCTTTGTAATGATTTATTCATCACAACGGTACCCGATCCCATATCGGGTTTAAGAATGCTTATATCCGATCTGTTCCGTAATTCTCTCAAAGATTTAAAGTGCTTTGAACTCTAAGTGCTTCATTGTCTTGTTTCTGAACTATGGAAATGGTGAGCAATATCAACTAATTTAGCCTTTAACATGTGTGTGTGGTCACACATTCATAGGGAGGAGTAATCGAATTATGCAGTTGAGGGTGAGAGAACATGTGCCTAAATGGCTTCAAAAACAAATGGAGTGTGAAACAGTGATAAACGCTGGTGGGAGACGACCCTCTTCATCTATAGCTAAACATATCATAGAAACAGGTCACAAAGTTAGTGTTCAAACAGCTTTCAAAGTTTCATGTAGAAACAGTCAGGGACGTATTTTGAGATTTGCGAAAGCCATAGCCATACACAAATTTAAACCACCTTTATGTGTACAAAAACAGTTTGTTATTACACTACACCTACCTTAGTCAGCTTTGTTTTCTTACCAAGATTAGGACCAGCTATGTCACTTCCTGTTTGTCCTCATCTTTTTAATTTTAATCCCCTATTGTGTTAATTGTTGTATTTATCCCCCCTCCCAGTCCTCAGTTTAATATATATTGACTTGACAAGTAAATGTGTGATGAGATTGTTCGAAATGTATTGCGCAAATACATCACATTGCTCAGATAAACTTCGTCTTCTAATTACGCTATCGAAATTCCACAAAACGCGAGCAATGCTAAGAAGACACCTGTGATCGAAAACCTGTGATCGTTTAACGTCTTCTGCTTTCAGCGACTATATCTCACAGTCATATAACAGGACAGAAGGCACTGCAGCGCAGTATACTAGTCCTTTGATAGATAGTCGAATATCTCGCCATGTTATAGACCACGATAAATATATAAATAACGATACAACGCGTTGCAACTAACGACAGAACAATGACTTCTCAACTCGATATTCAACTGACACCAGAAGACGATGTCTTTGAAAGCATATTTACTTCAGCCGAATAATCTCATAGCTGAAAAACTCAGTGCTTCATCAATCCTTAGAGATGGCCTTGGCCAAGGAAAACAAATAAGAATATTAAAAGTGAAAAACGGTCCAGTTAACGTTAAGTATCCTAAACCCCGGTAAAAATAAGTAACATCTCATGGCGCAAAAAGGGCACGAAAATAAGATCTAAGTTTTACAATGATAATACATACATATTATGAGTTGGTTTTTCTTAGGGGCTGGGCATCCCTAACACAGGAGTCGGCACTACAGATAACACAATTTGGACAGTGTCAAAAGGATCTTCTGTATTCTATCATGTCAAATATAGATTTCTGCTCAACGGGTCCAGAAGACGCTGCATTTTGTTGGCGTCCTTTCTCAGCGGAACAATATCGTCTACATACTCCAAGTTACCCCATATGACCTTCAGGTAGTAGGCCAATCCCAATGAAGTCAGACTTTCCTAAGGTTATATCCGTTAGTACGTCTACGGTGAAGTCAAATAGGAACGGTGATAGTGGACATCGTTGCCGGATACCACTAGTTGTCGTCAATTCACATGAAAACTCCCCATAAGCCGTTACATAGCTGCGTCAGTTCAAGTAGAGACAGCTTTGATAAGTACAATATACTTGCTCGGTACTTCCTTAACAGTCAGACCTATAAATTTGTACAGTCATTGTGAATCTGAGGTAAACAGGAAAATCTAGGCTTAGTGTGTGGAGTTATTGAAATGTTAGCGACAGATAGATCATGTTATTGAACTTACTTCTTGTTCACTTATTACCCTTCAGATGCTAAATCAGATACTAGTCTTTCCAAGAGTTTTATCTTTCACAGGGATTTTTCATCACAGATCAACACCAACCAAACAATTATTGAAGACCTTGGAGCAATAAAGAACTACTTCTTCAGACTACTACTGAGCAACACCCACTCACTACTCATATGAGATG